GGGGGGTATTTATAGATTTTGAAAGGGGGGTTAATTTTTTTTAAAAAAACAAAACAAAATTGGGCTATTTGTGCAATTCAGCCGTTGGGCAACGACCATTTTATGAAATGGACCGTTGCCAACGGTCAGATCTGGCCCAAATTAAAAAAAAAATTAATTTTTTTTTTACCGTTAAACCATGTCGGGCCGGGCCGGTTAATCGGTTTACGGGTACTGTTCACCTAACGGGTTGGACCGGTCCGGGTAACCGGTATTTTAATAGTAAACGGACCAACCCGCTTGTCCCCCCTAACCCAGCCCAACCCAGCCCCCTTTAACCAGTCCGAGCCGGTTCCGGTTTTAACCGGGCTGGGCCGGTCCAAAACCGAGTTGACCCGGCCCGTTTAACACCCCTAAGTGGGAATTTGATTGAAGCAAGTTTATTTGTGCTCCATTTCCATTTGTTCTTAATCATGAAATAAGTGATATTTTATGAACAGTATTATCTTGCAAACGCTACATGGTGCGCTTTAGATTCAACCACATTAAGTTGTTGCTATGATTTTCCATTGCGCAATTTCCTCGGCATAATTTTTTGCTAGCCATTTTTCGGACTGGTAATTGAAAAATAGCCGGCGTTTATAAAGTTATTGAAAAATAGTCACTATTTTGCTGAAACACGGAGGTTCCAACATAATATGCGGGATTATGTAGCTCTTGTGTATAAAATTTCAGCATATTATGTTGGAACTCCAGCACACGCAAAGTTCAAGCATAATATACTAGATTACGAAGCTCCTGCATATAAATTTTCCCGCATATTATGTTAGAACTCCAGCACATTATGCTGAAATCTCATATGTAAAAAATTCAAACTCCAGCATATTATGTTAGAATATTTTCGAGGGTATTTTTGTTCAAATTTTATCTTTACATAAAAAATTGAATAAATTTCTATTACTTTAAAGACTGTGACTATTTTTTAATTACCAGTTATAAATCTCGCAATTTTTTGATATTTTTCTCTCATTCCGGACGTGACCAATACTCTTTGCTTCTTGATATTAACAAAGCAGATCCAGTAATCAGTATATAAGCGCGTGGATGCACGTGTATTCATGTATCAGATTTCAATTATATATATACGTAAGAAATTTAAAGAAAATAAAAATTTAAAATATGTGTAGAAGTTATTAAGGGTGTATGCAATGTCTTTAAATTCTGAATCAACGTACCATCATTAATATTTCTCTTGTTTCTGCAAATTCTTTTACTAATACAAGCTATGTAGTTGCAAGAAATCAAACATGGAGCAAGAACGTTCTTTGGTTTCTTTTCATTGCTAGTACAAGCTATATACGAGGTTGTTCGACCTACGGGTAGAGGGTGGAGAGATACCTTTTCTCTCACTCAAACAGGATTTTTATTGTACAAAAACTTCAAGAAACAAATTCAATCATTTTGGTCCTCTAGTTAATCTACTACGGCTAAGTTAAATCTTTTGTTTGTTGGTTCCTTAGATATAAAGAATTGCTAATGGGTAAGTTCTTAAGAGTAGGGGTGTACAAAGGAAATCGACAAACCACACCAACCCGATAATTCGAGTCAAATCGAGAAAAAAAATCCGATTATGGTTTGGTTTGATGTTGGAAAAAAAAAAACTCTGACCATAATTGGTTTGGTTTAGTTTTAACTAAAGAAAGTCAGAAACCAAACCAATCCGACATTACATATATAGAAAATTTAGATATATTTAATATATAAATATACTTATTGTGATGTAATTTATAAATATATTCTTAAAAGATTTCATAATTTTTTTAGGTATTATTTGAAGGTTGGATTTAGAACTTTTGAATGTTCCAATAAATTTTATAGCGATTAACATTAGTAAATTAAATAGTGTTAACAAAAGCCCAAACTAAAATCGAATCAATACTAGTGCTAACAAAAGACATTCAACTCAATACTACGTAATGTATTGAATATCAATTTTTTGTTTTGCAATAATTTAGATAAAAATACATAACCTATTTTTATTTTTTCTTTACACTACTAAAAAAATCAAGTTTTAGCGACGGATAAATTCTGTAGCTAAATAGAAAAATCCGTCGCTAATCTCATTTAGCGACATATTATCAAAAGATTCTGCTAGCTACCAGCATTTTAGCGACAGATTAGCGACGACGTTCGTAACTAATTCTAGTTTTTTTGTAGTGTTAGCGTTTAGTCATGTAATTAATACTTCCTTATTATTCTACTTATTTTAGCATGACTTAGTATTTTTAGATTTTATTTATTTTTATTATGGCTTTGTAATTAGCAATATTTATATTACATTATTTTATTATCTTTATTGTTGAATATTTTAGAATAATGCCAAGACATATCTCATATTTTGAATTATTTTCTTGAAAAATACTTTATATAGTTGTATCTTACTAGAACTAAAAAATATTTTGAGCACAATTTATATGTTTTGTTCTTCGAAGATTTTACCGGGAAAAAACCCGAAAAAATTCGGACAATCCGAAAACACGAGAAAAACCGAGAGTGAAAAACGAGTTTTATTGGTTTGGTTTGGTCTTTAGATTTAATAACCCGACACAATTGATTTGGTTTGGTAATTGTAAAATCCGAACCAACCCGACCTATGTACACCCTACTTAAGAGTGTAAAAAGAAAATGTTAATTAGTTACTAATTCATGAATGAGTTTTAACTTTTGTAAACTTGCTGTGTAGAGTTTTTTTTAAAACCATAAAGTTAAAGTAACCTCCAACGAAATATAATTGTCACTGTACGTTGATACTATAGAAATTTTTGACAATGTTAATGTATATAATTAAATAACTAAATCTACTATAAAGGTGAGACCAAAAAGAAAAGAAGAAAAGAACATTAGTAATACCCGCTTCTTCTGTGGTCCTTGGTACGAGATTGTAGGGGATTTTATGTATCATCATTATCATTAAAACAAAGGTCTAATGCTGGGTGGCTAGCAAAATCATGAGGTTATTCTACCCCACCAAATTTCATGAGAACCTTATATATAATTATAAACCGTAAAGTGATAAAGAAAAAGATAAAAAGTACAAGATACACGATCTAGAAAGAATTAAAGTTTTTATTACTTTTAATTTTTATTTTATATAATACTGATCATAGACGAGTTTAATAAAATAGAGTAAAATGATCCATGAGTATAACCGACCGACTAACTTAGGATTCTTGTTTGAGTCACGTGGATCACAAAATGGATCCATGATTTCAAGTTCATTCGTTAATTTCGACAAAACCGAATCAATTTGGTGCCTCCAACTCGAGATTTTTGTTCGTAGAACTGGTCATCAGATATATATTCATCCATGTATCCGCTATGGGAGCATAGGCGACTTACATTCAACAATACCGGGGGCTTTCACTTGGACACGTCTTTCGCTTAACTGTTATTGTTGTCGTATACCAAAGAAAGAAAGAAAGAAACAAGGAGCTAGGAGGAAGAAGAGGGGGAAAAGAAAAATGAAAGAAACCATTTCCATTCAAATTACCTTTCATTTCTATATATATACACTTGATATAATAACTTTCTTTATGTGTAACAAAAAGCCCAAAAGCCAAAAAACAATAAGACAGAGAGGGGGAAAGAAAGCAGTGATGAGAGCTCCGCAAGACGACTTTGGATGAGATTCTTAATACTCCATAATTAAGAGGCCAAACAAGTCTCCCAAAATAGCCTATCTTTGTCCTTTTGGCACTTCAACTCTTCCATAACTGAATCAACTTTAGCTTTTTTACATCTATTCACACCAAAATTCCAACCTTGTTCAACTACGTCATCTTCATCTTCCTCCTCCTCCTCCTCTTCCATATCACTGTTCCAACCAACACTTTTACAATTATCAGAACAACTCCAAGATCTCACATCATCATCATCATCTTCATTTTCAATATGGAAATCCAAGTCCATATCTTCATCTTCAATATGAACACCACATTCATAACTGCATGATTGTGCATCATCATCTTCAAGAAAACGTTGATAAGGTGGATTTAGAGCGAATGAATCCACTGGATCATCATGACTTGTACTACAAAAATTAGAATCAAATTCAGAATCCCCACTAGCCTCAAAGAGCATAAAAGAAGACACATCAATAAGAGTGTTACTACTATTGCTTTCTTGATTCATCATCATTTCTACCATTTCCTCTAATTAGGTACCAATAACAAACATTCTTGGACACAAAACTCAATAAATAGTAGAGAGAAAAGGAAAAAAATAATAAAAAAAAAAGATTTTTGTTTCTTGGTTTTGTTAGAGGAGGAAGACAAGGAACATGAGATAAGTGAGTGGTGATATAAAATGAAATGAAATGAAATTGATAGGACACAACAAATAAAAAGAATGGGCATGTAATGACACCAAACTTCTAGAAGCCCAATTATACATTCATATTTGTAGGCATCAATATTCCAAAGAGCAGTCAGCCCACCTCTTCTAGAAACTTTATACTGTATCCCAATTTTTCCTCACCCCACCATCCCCCCTTTCTCCTTTTTTCTTTCAAATAGAACTCTTCAAACCTTGAATGCTATAATTGCGTTTACTGCTTAAGATTTACTGTTATTTGGGTTTACCGCTTGAGATTTACTTTGATCTTTTCTCTGTTTTTACTTTTGTTGTATCTGATGTACCTTTTATTTTATAACTATGGTGTCCGTGTCAACTTGCACGCACCTCGAATAAATATGCTATTGTTAGGGTTTTATGTATTTAAGTATATTAAATACTTAAAAGAGGGTGAATGAGAAATGGAGAGAAATGAAATTTTTGGTGAAATTTTAAGTTTCTCCCTTTGGCAAAGGGACATTGTCCCATATTGAAAAAGGAAGAGGTTTTTATGGTTATATAAGCAATTGCTCTTCTTCTAGCTCTTAAAGAGTTGAGAAGAAGGCAAGCCTCGCGCCGTCGTCGTCGCTCGGCTCGGATTCGGATTTGGTCAAATGATTGATTGATTAATTTTTTGGACCAAATTTATTTGTTAATAGTAAAATATTAATAGAAATGTTATTAAATATTTGTTTTAATAACAGAATATTAAAATAAATATTAATATTAAATCCTCCAATCCGTTTTTCAGTTGTGTAACTGAAAATTAAACTACCCTTTTCAATTTTCCCTCTTTATTTTTGAGTAAATAGCCATTTATGTTATGACATTTATGCTGTGGCCGTTTTGCATAAACAGCCATTCTGAAGAGTTGCACCTCTTCAGATTTCAGCCCAACTTTGGCTATAAATACAAGAATATTCTGCTCAGAATTTCTATACGATTTTCTGAGTTTTTCCTCCTTCCTCTGCATACTTTTAACATCAAAGAAAGCAATAGTAAGTGTGATTTGCTACCAAACTTTGTGTTCGCTGAAACACTGGGGTTTGAAATACTACTACACCAGTGTGTAATTCGTTCTATCCTGGGAGGAAATAATCCATAACCTTGGGTACTATAAGGGGATTAAATTCCTTAAGGAAACACTGTGAATTCAGTGAGCTCGGATTAAAATTCTGTTTCTGTTTTTCATTTCTGTTATATTCATTTATATTTTCCAGAATTATTTTACAAATACATTTTACTAACAAGCTTAAGGAATTTAAAATATTTTCTGTGTTTGTACTCACTGTTTCTGGAGAGTAAAACCTTTGTGATTTTGTACTCTATTGGAGATTAAAATCTACGTAATTTTAACGTTTGTGTCATTCTTTTACAGAAATGACTAATGATAATGTGAACCAAGTTGTTCCAATGGTGACTGCCAATGCCTCAACGAGCCGAACAACACCGGCAGCATTGGCACAGGCGGAGAAACCCGAAAATTTTTTTGGGATTGATTTCAAGTGCTGACAGCAAAAGATGTTCTTCTACTTGACTACTCTAAGTCTCCAGAAGATCATCAAGGAAGATGTTCATGTGTTGTTCGATGAAACTCCAGAAACTGAACGCTTTCTCGTGATTGAGGCGTGGAAGCATTCAGATTTTTTGTGCAAGAATTATATTCTAAGCGGGCTGGAGGATGTTTTGTATAACTTCTACAGTGGCGTGGAAACATCAAAAGAACTGTGGATTGCGCTTGAAAAGAAATACAAAATCGAAGATGACAGGTTGAAGAAGTTTGTTGCTGCAAAGTTTTTGGACTACAAAATGGTAGATATCAAGTCTGTTATTACCCAAGTCTAGAAATTGCAAGTGATTATTCACGATCTCCTTGCTGAAGGTATAAATCAAATTAATACTGATGTTGAAAGTAGTAATCTTAGTATTTTTACTAACAGAAATTTTATTGAAGGGCTTCTTATCAATGAAGCATTCCAAGTAGCAGTGATGATTAAGAAGTTGCCTCCTTTGTGGAAGGACTTCAAAAACTACTTGAAACACAAACGCAAGGAGATGTCCCTTGAATATCTCATTGTTCGGTTGAGAATCGGAGAGGACAACAAAGCTGCTGAAAAGAGAAGTCGTGGAAGCTCAACAATAATGGGAACAAATATTGTTGAAGAGAACAAAAAGAGGAAGAAGGCTTCTGGACCGAAATACAATCAAAGCAAGAAGTGGTTCAGTGGAAATTGCTACAACTGTGGAAAAGCTAGACACAAATCTACGGAGTACCGTGCTCCGAAGGAAGAGAAGAAGAAGGGTCAAGCAAACATGGTTGAAAAGCATGATGATGTTGATGACTTATGTGCCATGCTTTCCGAATGCAACTTGGTGGGCAATCCTAAAGAGTGGTGGATTGATTCTGGAGCCACTCGCCATGTTTGAGCTGTTAGAGAAGCTTTTGCTACTTATGCTCCTGTTAGACCCAATGAGACGATTTCTATAGAAAATGCTGCAAAGGCCAAGATTGAAGGATGTGGGAAGATATTTCTCAAAATGACTTCCGACATAGTGGTGACTTTGAATAATGTCCTTCATGTTCCCGAGATTAGGAAGAATTTAGTCTCTGCTGGACTTCTTGTTAAGAACGTTTTTAAATGTGTTTTTGTTTCCGATAAGGTTGTAATAAGCAAGAACAAAATGTTTGTAGGAAAATGTTACCTCACTGAGGGCCTTTTCAAGCTAAATGTAATGGTTGTTGAAAATTATAATAAAATTTCAGCTTCGTCTCACTTACTTGAGTCAAATGAATTATGGCATATACGTTTGGGTCATGTTAATTATAAAACCTTACGAAAAATGATTAATTTGTAAGTATTGCCTAAATTTGAATGCGACAAATCAAAATGTCAAATATGGGTGGAATCTAAGTATGTTAAACATCCTTATAAGTCAGTTGAAAGGAATTCAGATCATTTAGACTTAATTCACACAGATATTTGCGATATGAAGTCAATACCATCTCGCGGTGGAAAGAAGTATTTCACAATTTTTATTGATGATAGTACTCGATATTGCTATGTTTACTAACTTAATAGTAAAGATGAAGCAATAGACGCATTCATGCAATACAAAAATGAAGTTGAAACGCAACTTAACAAGAAAATCAAAATGATAACAAGTGATAGAGGTGGTGAATATGAATCTTCTTTTGAACAAATATATTTAGAATATGGCCCCTTACACGCCCCAATCCAATGGGATTGCAGAAAGAAAGAATCGTTCATTAAAGGAGATGATGACGCATTATTGATAAGTTCTGATTTGCCACAGAACTTGTGGGGGGAAGCCGTTCTTACGGCTAGCCGAATACTAAATCGAGTACCCCATAGCAAAACACAATCCATTCCATATGAAAAATGAAAAGGAAGGAAGTCCAACTTGAATTATTTTAAAGTGTGAGGGTGTTTGGAAAAAGTGCAAGTTCCTATACCCAAAAGGGTAAAAATAGGACTGAAAATCATTGATTGTGTTTTCATAGGATATGAGACTAATAGTAAAGCATATTGATTTTTGGTTCATAAATCAGAAAATTTCGACATTCATAATAATACGGTTATAGAATCAGATAATGCTGAGTTCTTTGAAAATATATATTCATATAAAAAGTAATGTGAGTCGATTGGTGAAGGATCTAAACGACCTTGGGAAGAAACAAAAGAAAGTACACTTAACCAGGAGGATCCAAGACGTAGTAAATGTCAAAGAACGTCTACTTCATTCGGACCAGATTTTGTGACTTTCTTATTGAAAATGAGCCTCAAACATTTAAAGAAGCTATGTCTTCTTTGGAATCATTATTTTGGAAAGAGGCAGTCCATAGTGAAATAGAATCCATACTGAACAACCATAAATGGGAATTGGTTGATCTTCCTCCTGGAAATAAACCGTCGGGTTCTAAATGGATCTTTAAGAGGAAAATGAAAGATGATGGCACTATTAACAAATTTAAGGCAAGACTTGTGGTCAGATGGTATAGACAACGAGAAGGTCTTGACTATTTCGATACATACTCTCCAGTTACAAGAATTACGTCCATACGAATGTTAGTAGCGTTAGCTGCAGTTTATGGTCTTGAAATTCATCAAATGGATGTTAAGACAGCCTTCTTAAATGGAGAGTTGGAGGAAGAAATTTACATGGAACAACCTGAAGGGTTTGTGGTTCCAGGTAAAGAAAAGAAGGTATGTAGACTTGTTAAGTCTCTTTACGGACTAAAACAAGCACCCAAACAATGGCATGCGAAATTTGACCAAACAATGTTGTCAAATGGTTTTAAGATAAATGAATGTGATAAATGTGTGTACATTAAAAATATTTCAAATCACATAGTCATTATTTGCTTATATGTGAATGATATACTGATAATGAGTAATGACATTGCCAACATAAATACGACTAAGCGTATGCTAACTGGCAAGTTTGATATGAAAGACTTGAGAGTTGCTGATTTAATTATAGGAATTAAGATCCATAAGACTTCTCAAGCTCTGGCATTGTCACAATCTCATTATATTAAGACAGTGCGTGAAAAATTTAAGCACTTGGCTTTAAAGTTGCAAAGACTCCAATTGACGTGAATCTTGCATTAGCAAAGAACAAAGGCCAAAGCATATCACAATTGGATTATGCTCGTGTATTGGGTTGCTTAACGTACATCATGAATTGTACACGACCAGATATAGCTTGTGGTATAAGTAAATTGAGTCGATATATGAGCAATCCAGGTCAATCTCATTGGATGGACATGAAACGAGTTTTGGGGTATGTAGTACATACCTAGAACTTTGCTTTGCACTATAGTAAATATTCTGCGGTCATTGAGGGATATTGTGATGCAAATTGGATCACCGGATCAACTGATTCCAAGTTCACAAGTGGATATGTATTCACTATTGGTGGAGGAGCGGTATCTTGGAAGTCGTCCAAACAAACTTGTATTGCCCGCTCTACGATGAAGGCTGAATTCATAGCCTTAGATAAAGCCGGTGAAGAAGCTGAATGGCTCCAGAATTTCTTGGAAGATATTCCATTTTGGCCCAAACCGTTGGCACCAATATGCATACATTGCAATACTCAAGCGACAATTGGAAGGGCTGGGAGCATTATGTATAACGGTAAATCTCGTCATATACGACGAAGACATAAAA